TACCTTCTAAATTTTGAAGGTGGTTACCTATAGATAGTTCTCAAAGCACAGCTTTATATTATGTTAGTATTTGCATTCACTTGGGACCTGCTTTGAGACATAACACACATTTCTAACCTGCCCCCTACTTTTTCCTGAAGAGCTTTGATAAGTAAAAGAATGCTTGAATTTACCAGCCAAAAAGATCTGGTTAATGTTAACTGCTATTACAAGAAGCTGAATTTTTGTCAAAAACTTTAGAAAGGCTAACCTCATTTACACAAAATACTAGCTGTATTATTAATTTATGTAATGGCATAAGAGTTAAGGGTTAAAATTCTGATTCCACCACTTAATAGCTGTGTCATCCTGAGCAAAGTACTTACCCTTTCAGTGGCTTACTTTCCTCATTTTTAACTAGGGATAGAATACCTAGATCATAAGGTTGCAAGAATTGAAATTGTTAATATACGTTAGGCATTCTGAACAGAACAGAGGTTCTATATGTTTAAGCTATTATTATTTCCATTTAGATTGGTTTTTAGCTATTTTTTAGCTAATTACTAGATTGATTAATATTCAGGTTAGTTAAAATTTGAACATTTTAATTAGCCTGAGCAAAATGAAGACAATGTCTAAATCTATCAGAGATATTAAAAAAATAGTAGTTCTTGGGGCACCTGGGTGGCTCAGTCAGTTAAACGTCTGACTCTTGGTTTTAGCTCAGGTCATGATCTTAGGGTCCTGAGATCGAGCCCCCATGTTGGGCTCCTTGCTCAGCAGAGAGCCTGCTTTTCCCTCTCCCTGTGCCCCTCCCCCCACTCATGCACACTCTCTCTCAAATAAATACATAAATAAAATCTAAAAAAATGGTAGTTCCTTGGATTTGCTTCATATTGTACATCAGAACCTATGTACTGGCAATGTTCAAGTAAGAAAGAAAGATTTATATTCTCAGGGTTAACTCAAATTGAAGATTGGTTCTTGTTTGCTCCAGAATAATTTTATGTGTAGACAAATGTATTTCCTAGAGACATATTTATCACAATAATTTGAAATAATGAAGGAAGATACCATATGCATAATGTGAAAAAACTAAGAATAACAGCTTCCTTTAGTACGAAAATTAGGCAAATGACTTTAATAGTTATTAGCATGTTGACTTACACAGGTAACCTTCAGCTTCAGATTATGTGGGACTGCAAATGGCTTTGTCCTCAGAGTCTTAAGGGCAGGATTCCTGCAAAGGTGCTCCAACCTAACAGGTAGAGAAGGTAGCAATTTAATGTACAGTCTGGGCTGATTTGCAAACCACACACTCTAGATTTCAAATGAATTTTGTTTATCAAAGCCACTTACCCAGTGACATTCTTTAAAACTGGAGTTATATTCTGGGAGAGTAGAATAAATAAGTAGAGTTAGACTTACTCAAGTTTCCCAAACATATCAGCTCAGTATCACTGGATTTCAGTGTTGGAGTAGGGATGGGGCAGCAATTCAGTCCTCTAGAGATACCACTTTCTCTCCTGGGCAGTTTACAGCAGCATCATGGGCAGCAGAGAGATAGACATCATTGAAAATAGTAATTGCCAACACTGTGAGTCCGGTGACTGTATTAGTTTGCTAGGACTGCTGTAACAAAGTACCACAAACTTGAGTGGCTTAAACAGGGATTTGTTGTCTCACGGTTCTGAAGGCTAGAAGTATGAGATCAAGGTGTCGGCAGGGTCACATGCCCTCTGAAAGCACTAGGGAAGAATCTGTGTTAGGTCTTGGCTTCTGGTGGTTCTTTGCCTTGTGGCAGCATCTCTGTGCTCTTTGCATGGGGTTCTCCCTGTGTGTCTCTGTCTTCGTATGACCATCTTCCTATAAGGATACCAGTCAGATTAGATTAGGGATCCACACTACTCAAAGAACATTTCCAAGGACACATTTTGAGGTACTGGAGTGGGGGGTTAGGACTTCAACATATGAATTAGAGGTGGGGGGTACAGTTCAAACCATAATAGTTAACTGGGTATTTTTATTGTCCTAATTGGGACACTGGTGAACGTGAAGGGAGTACTGTTAATCATTGTTCTGGGATAACCAGCATAAACTGAGACTGCCTTAGGCAAACCTGAATATATGGTCACTGTCCCTATGAGATAGATACAATTTATCCCATTTTTCAGAGGTTCAGTGAGGTTGAATAACTTCCCCAGAGTTATAACTAGAAAGAGGACAAGTATTATTCAAATTCAGGACAATCAGATTCTAAAAAAAGGAGAAAATCTATGCTTCTAACAAAAGAAAAGTTAACATTTTCATGTCTATAGAGAAAATTTCTATATTATGACACTAGGTAAGGTAGGGAATGAATTTGTTATGCTGCATTCTCTAAAATTCCTTAACTGTATCTTTTTCCTTGCTTAATCACTTTAGCTATTATGAAAGAAAATAATAACCTGGTATATTATATTAGGCTTAATTAACATATAATTTACCTGATGACTGCGAGTCTTTGATTTTTGTTTGCTGGATAGTCTATTGGTATTTGGAGAGCAAGACAACACCCAAAGCTATACAAAGAGAATAGCCATGAATATTAAATTATTTTAGGCTTGCTAGAAAATTCTTGAAATGACTTTTTGTAAGTGTAAACCACCTTACTATTTTTATCATGCTTTATTTGTAATCCAGATTTGATTTTTGATTGACTTGTTAATAAACATTTTAGCATTCCTTATTATCTATCACTAAAGTAAGATAAACTTTGAAAATCTTAAAGTTTACTTTGCTTTTCATACTTTATGAAGAAGGAAATAAAAAATTATCTGGAATTCTACGATGCAGGTGTTACCACCATTAGATTAGCGTTTTGCTGTATTCAGTTCTTTTTTTGCAAGGGGGCTGTGCATGGGAAAGGTTAGATGGTCAAGAACTCAATAAATGATAGTTGTTGCTACTACTCCTTCTACTGCCAATGCTGTTGTTACTGCTACTGCTATTAATATTATTTTCATTTTTGTCACCATCATCAAGGAGAATTCTAGAAATATCAGAGAAGGGCAATCAGTATGACTTAGAGACTGGATGCAGGGGGGAGTGAGTAAAAGGAAGTACGTTGGAGGGCTAAGTTTCTTATTTGGTAACTGGGTGAGTGTGGTATAACTAATCAGGACAGGATATGCAGGTTACCCAGGATTAGAAGTTGAAGACATGAATTCAGAATGCTGTATTTGACTTGTTCATGGGCTATCCAAATGAAGATACCTGGTTGACATATGGCTGTCTCAAGACCAGGTCTCAACAGAGAGATCTGGAATTAAGATAAATATATATTATCAACTTAGTGTTAAAATAAGATTATACTTTCATAGTTTTTCAAATAAGTTGGACTCTACACCTTTAGTCTTCTGACAATAAAGACACCCGTAGGGTCATGATTATAATAAGGCCAAAAATTCCAGGTCCACTTATCTAGTACAAAGGTTGATTTTTATCTCACAGAAGAAGTTGGCAAGTGTAGATAATTCTTTAAAGAGTCCTGTTTCTGTTTGTAGTGCCATTGTTACTTTATTGTTTATTTATTTCCATTCTGGATGGTTGTCATCATTTTACAGTGCCCAGTTCAAGGGGAGAGTCCTGGGTGCTCCTTCTCAGGGAGAGGCTGGGAAAATGCGGCTGTGCTGGGGGCTCTGCTATATTCGCTCCCCTGTGATGTTACTGCTGAAAACACTCAGTTCATAGAGCAAGGTCCCTCAAGAATGTCGCTGTCATCTCATGACTAGGGAGAGGTCAAGGAAGACCATGATGCCAAGTGACCATTGGAGCAGCAAGGACTTCATTGTTGACCTGATAGGGGAGTTTGCTGGAATAATGCGAGTGATACCCGGATTGAGCGAGAATGAGAATCAAATGGGACACGAGGGAGTAAAGGACTAACTTGTGCTGCTTGTGAAAAGCCCTGTCCCTGAGGGAAAGGAAAGACAGATAGGACGTTTTACATTTGCAGAAGGCAAACATTATACTGTGTCCATCTTTGATTGCAGGGTCTAGCATCCTCCTATGTAAGTGCATTGTTAAATGAGACAGTAAAGAAGAGATAGTGATTTTGAGTGACCGTTTTTTCTAAATAATTAGGCTTTGACTAGAGGTCAGCTTCAGATTCCTCCTGGAGACTAAATTTTGTCACATTTTTGTCATTTCACAGTAATTTTTTTTTAATGTGATGTGTACGTTTACTTGTAAGTTTTTTTTAAAAAAATGTCTTGGCTCTTTTCTAAATAATAACCTCTAGATGCAAGATACTCAGTTATAGCAGCAAGTGTGGATCAATTATTAAACTACCAGTGGTTCTGTTTAACCTGTACCAATGTGTGAAATTCTTTTGAAACTCATCACCCCGAGACAGAATATGAAGTCTTTCTTTGTTAAAACAAAGAATCAATAAATCAATTAAAGACCCCTATAATGAGTAGTACAGTGACAGAATGAATGGATTAATATAAAGTCCTTTTAAGAGATTCTTAAAATCAGAAGACTTAATTTGGGCTCAAGTAGTAAAAGGAATATGCCGGGGCACCTGGGTAGCTCAGTTGGTTAAGGGTCTGCCTTCGGCTCAGGTCATGATCCCAGGGTCCTGGGATCAAGCCCCATGTCAAGCTCCCTGCTCAGGGGAGTCTGCTTCTGCTTCTGCCTCTCCCTCTGCCCCTGCTCATGTGTCCTCTCTTGCTCGCTCACTCTCAAATAAATAAAATCTTTTAAAAAATAAAAATAAATAAAAGGAATATGCAAGAAGCCTGCTGCTGGCCAATGTTGAAATGTTGGAAATGCTCTGGGCTCAGTCCCTCTCCATAGGAGGGGAAGGCACAGTCCATTGCCCTGCAGCGCCCATGGTGTGTCAGCCCAGCTGTGCAGGGAGCCTCTTTTTGGCAGTGCAAAGAGCATACGTGGTGATTAGGATATGAGTTGGGGGAGTGACGGCAGTGCTTGCTTTGCTAGTTTACTTTTTTCTGACCTGGAGACTTCCTTTGCAGGTGAGCGTCCCTATCAATGCCCTTACTGTGAAAAAGGATTCAGTAAAAATGATGGACTGAAGATGCATATTCGTACTCACACCAGGGTAAGATTATATTCTGTCTCATTAATATTTATTATAAAACTATACTTAGTTTTTTTTTTAAAAGATATTTAACTTGGCATGAGAAAGTAAAAGTGATGTATCTAAAATTATATGTTCATATTTAGGATGGGCATTTGGGGATTAATTAAAAAACAAAACAATGAAAGAAACAAAAGTCCAAATTCCAAAAGGATCCCCATTCTTTCAGTTAGGAATAAGTGCTCAGGAGTATTAAGAATTATCAATGGCAAACTGCCAAATAAATAGATCACAACATTTTAGGACTAAAAAGTATAAAAGATGGTGCCTTGCAGGGCATTTGCCAGTAATAGGAACATTTTTGAAGAGAGGCGTGTCTGTAAGCATGTGAACACCAATTAATACACATGAGCAAATACATTTGCAAGAAAGATGTTGAAAATAATGTAAGTTATCGGAAGGGACAGAAAACAGGAAAGGACAACTCACTGCTTCACAGGGTGCTGCCTGGTACTGCCTTCCATTCTTTTCCAAGGGTGCCCTGTGTTTTTTAGCTACACCTGTCACTGCACTCTTGTCATTCTGTTACATACGGCTTTCCCAAACTCAAGCATCTGCCTCACCTGCTTTATGAAAACCCGTGAGCAGCTCACCCTCCATCCAGCTACATTTCTTAACCCACTATTCTGTTTAGGGCACAATTAGATACTTTATATGAACTTTCCACTTGGAAATTTGATGTTTTAAATAGTTCTTGAATTTGCTTTACCTGTCTTTCCACTGTATTATCTCTCACACAGTTCCTTTTCAGTCTGGCCTTTTAAAGGTGCTTATGATCTGTACATAAATGACATGTTTTTCCAGCTTTGAAGAGACCCGCTTAATCCCTTAAGGACAATTCTAATTTCGGCCTTTCCTGGATTTCACTTTTTTACCTTAGCTATAAAATACAAACTTTAGAGAAAACACATAATAATAATATCTTTTCCAGTATAATAATATTCTAGCTTTCCACTTCAGTTCTGTAGGCCATAAAAAATACCCTCGGAGGTCCTGTTAAGAAAATCACTCTTCTTGTCTTTCTGGTGGAGGACAGAGGCAGTTTCTCTACTCATTAAAGCAAATCCATAGCAGGTTTCTCCTTCTGGTTTATAACATCATATTTATATTATATGAATATTAGTAATTGGAGTACTTACTGAATATAAAATTACTTCATAAACAATAAAGGATTAGACAAATATGACTGCCTGTAATGATATGACTTAAATATTTATTTCACGATGAGCATTATTAAAGAGATTTAAGTTAGTTTTAGTTCAGCCTAAGAAGTTATCTTGTGTGTGCAGTCTTCATAGTGCTGTTAATAATGCGTTTTAAAGCTACCAGCCTACAAGGAACCCTGGTTCCTCTCAGTGAAACTAGTGATGTTAACCAAAATCTGGGCATGATGGGTACATAACTATATTATTGCACTTGATTACGGATGATAGACATGATTATACCACAGAAGAAAATCACTGCAGGAAAAAAAATACCTTTTGGGTCCCCTCAAGAAAGTGATATTTCCAATTCGATTAGTTTTTTACTTTGTTTTAATATAAAGTTTATTAATGAGACCGATACAAATAGTTATAAATACAAAGACCACTAATCCCATGCCAGGTCTGGGCCTTCACATTTATTCATTTAAGAAGCCTTACAAAATTTAGATCTCAGAACAGCTTGTTAATGAATTTAAAAATTCTTTTAGGCCCCTATAAGGTAGATACTATTATGATCCCTTTTTTTAAAAAATGAGAAACTGAGGCCTAAGCCAGTAAGGAGCAAAAAGAGATGGGAACCCAAGCAGATCGGCTGCAGAGCCAACCCCCTTACCTAGTACATACATCTGCCTTTTATTTACTTGAATATTTTGACTCTACCAACTGATGTACTTTCTTGTATATTTTTAAACTAAACAAACTGCAGTAACGACCCCAAATTTAAAAGTCTCATGTTCATTTGAATATTTGAGCCTTGACTTGAGGATCCTGGAACTGCCTTGAGGTGTCCAGGTGCAGGTGGTACCTTTTAGCAGTTCTCAAGCACTCACTGCAGGAAAAGAAAACAAATCCCAGCCTTTGATTAAGGGAGCACCCAACAGGGTCTCAACTAGAAGCACCCAGCATTTTAGACAGAATCCCATACAATTAGTGGAGTACTCTAGAGGAACAGGGTAAGTAGATCTAAGCCTCTCAGGTTTTGCCTCAAGCTCTAATTCTTTTTCATGCATTATTTGTATTTTATCATAGACAGCTTTAGTTTTGAAATTATATTTCCTAAGCATTGAATGGATACAGATATTCTTTGCTTATTAGTGCAACTTTCCAAAAGCTAATTATCAGCTAATGCAATCTAATTAATGTCAAGAACCAAAAGAGACTTTTAAAAAAAGTTCTAGAGGAACAATCTCTGCAAATTCATATTTTCCCCAATATTATTGGGTTTTATAGGACCAAATACAAAAACGATATCATTACATTTGGACCATAACACATTTCAGTTTTAGTTTTGTATTCACATTACGTTTAGTATTTAGATCATTCTAATTCCGGGCGATTTTGCCCTATCTCGAAAGATCATTTTAATTCTGTTATAACAACAACAAAAACCATACTATTCAGCAACTTACATCTTTGAGAAGTTTTGGTTAGTCTACACAAAATGCCATGCCATGCCTGCACCCTCAGATTCGCATTCTATGGTTACTGCATGGATGCCTTAGCGAGGGAACACAAAATCCTTTCATTCCGGTTATCGTTTATGTGGTCCAGTAAGGGCTGCAAATGTGGGAGACAATTTTGCTAGAATCTACATTTTACTAAAAGGCTAAACAGTCATTGGTCTTTTATGGAGAGGCCACGGCTTAAGTCCAAGGCTTAATTTCCTTTTATCCATTTCCTTCAATGTATTATATGTTCTCCTTATTTTTGGTTTTCAACACTGTTGTGCTAGATGTGTTTTTCTTTGTATCCATCCTGCTTGTATTGAGTTTGTTATTAATAGCTATATTTTGGAAAATTCTCAGCTGTGTTTTAGAAATTATTTCTTTGGTCCCTTCCTTTCCTTCTTTTTCTTAAGGGATGTTGAGTACATGTGTTAGATTGTTTGATGTTGTTCCATAGCTCTTGGTAGTTCTCTTCTGGTTTCATTTTGCTTTGGCTGCTTTTTGATTTTTAACCACAGTGTTTTTCTTCTTGTTGTTTGTGTTTCTAATTTCCATTCATATATTTTCAGTTTCACTGAATCGTTCCTCTTCTGTTCCCAGTCTGCCTATTGAAGGAGTTCATCTTCGATACCATGTTTTTCACTTCTAGTATTTCCATTTGGCTTTTAAAAAAATCACTTCCATGTCTGTTAAGATTACCCATTTGTTCGTGCATGTTGTCCACTTTTTCACTGGATTCTTTAAGATATTAATTATAGTTACTTTAAGTTGTCTGATAGTTTCACCATCTGGGCCATCCTTTGATCTTTCTGTGTTGTCTGTTCGTCTGTTGATAATGGGTTTGGGGGAGTTGCTTTTTGTGTGTCAGACAGAATTTTTATTCAATGCCTATTACATGTGTGAAAGAATAGTAGATACCAAGGTAAATGTTACTTATACCTGGAAATAGGTACACCTTTTTCTGCCGGGCCATTAATGTGAGGGGTTGAGCCAATCTGGTCAATAGTTGAACTATCTTTGGGTTTTGTTGTTGCTATAGGTACCATAGGCTTTAAGCTTCTCCCATGGTGGGCTGCTATTTCCATGTTCTTACTGGGAAGTCTGGGTGGTCAGGGGTTTTCTGCAGTAATTCTCCTCTACCAAACAGACCCTGTTACTCAGCATGAGATGTGAGTGGGGCAGAGGGTTCTCTTGGTTCTCCTGTTCGAGCAATAGGGGGAGGCAAGTGCTATGTACCTGAGTCTCTAAAGTGGAACTTTCTCAGCATTCCTGCTCTGAGCCTGTGGTGGGCAACTTCTGCCTCTGCCTTAGTACAGGTCTAGAGCGGCAGTGTCCTAGGCACAAGCTGCATGTGGTTATTTAAAATGTAATTGTAATTAATTATAATTACAAGTGATTGGAATTTAATTACAAATTAAGGCTGATTCATAGAACATGCAGCTTGTGGCTCCTGTATTGGACAGCACAGTTATAAAACATTTCTGTCATTGCAGAAAATTCCACAGCACAGGTCTAGAAGGGCAAGTGGCTGAACTTGGCCTTGTGTCAGTGGAGAGTTTGGGGTATAAGTGAGGCTGTCACTCCTCTTCTGGCAGCAGCAGACCTCTTCTACATGTCAGTGTGGGTCTTAGGCAAAAGCAGGTCCGAGAGTGCCTCCCCTTTGAGTCTCTGCAGGGTGTGGGGTGTGGGCAAGCTTCTGTCCTTCCCCAGAGGCACAGTCCTTCACCTGGGACCAGCGTGTGCACGGGGTTCCTGCCTCACCCCCAGCAGGTTATGGCTTTTGCCTCCTGACGGAGATAAGATACAAGACACGGCAGAGACTGAAGGCATTTGTTTCCTGTGTCAGGAGGGTCTGTGGCCTTGTGCTTGTTCCCTGGCAGTGGCCAGTCACCGCCTCATGGTCACGCAGGGACCAGAACACAGACTAGTGCCTTCTGGTGGGCCTGTTCCACCCTGAAACCTCGTCAGGCCCCATAGCCTGCGTCGTGACGGGGCTCTGCAGTCCTCCCCGCCTGCCCCTCATCTTTCTCACCAGCACCTGGTGGAGCCAAGGGAAAAGAAGCTATGAATGGTGTGGACTTCCGGTGTGCTTGGGTCCCCCCAATTCTACTCTGAACCATCCCGATAGCCCACAAAGGACCTTGAAGAATCATTTAAAGTTTTACTTGTTTTCTTCCCACCCACTGACCTGACAGCTGCCTCATCCTCTGTGCTGTGACCAAGAGGAAACAGTTCTTGTGTTCCATCTCTGTGGCATTCAGTTCACCTGCTTGTCTGGGAACTCACAAAACATCCCATGACCTTAGGTTCA